AACTCCCCAATGTTTTTTTCTGGGCACGAGGGGGGTAGCCCGTTTTTAAAAATTTTAAATTTTTTTTTTTAAAATTTTTTGGTTCAAAATTTCAGACAATTTTGGAATTTGATTTACCAACCCCATAAAAAAAGGGTTTAAAATTTTTGGGGAATTAACTCAAGTAAAAATTTTAAATACACTTTATTTTGTGTATATTTTGATTAAATAACTCTTGTTTAATATGCATTTAGGATATTGTTTAATATAGTATAGGTAAAGTAAATAAATTTTATATTGTTTCCGTTGTTTTCTGATCATTTTATTATTTTGTTGAGTATATTAAAGGGAGACACAGGCAAAAGTTTCATTTCTTCGTTTTGTATTTTTCATTCATTATTCTGTAAATGTCATCAAAACTAATACACTAGGCAGTCACAGGAACAAAACTTTTCTCCTTATAAAGAATAAAATGGTGGTTTCCTAACTTGACCCACGTGGGTCAGGTTAGAGCATTAAGATTTCATAATAGTTGTCACAGTGAACTCTGGAAACGTTAAAGAACATGTAAAATGAACTACTTAGACTTGTTTCAATCATACAATATCCAAAATATCTGCTATTGTAACATCCAGGCTTTGTTCAAGTCAAATGACTTGTTTTAAAAACCACTCAGTGATTCAGTCGGCGTCTAAATTTCATACAACATATAATTATAAACAGATTTACACTTTAAAACCAAAATTTAAAGAATTTATATCGAAATCAATGCTGGTACTTAAAAATATCATTCTAGTGTGATTTGAGTTCATAAACTCAGGGAGTCTCTTAAACAGTCTCAAAGAAAAGTAAAATTTAAATACCATCTATCTGTCTATATACAATTGTGACTTAACTATATATGAGCCGTGTCATGACAAAACCAACATAATGGGTATACAAACCCGATCGCTTACAAACCCTATAACAAGTAGAGAAACTGATATAGCGAACAGCATGGGTCCTGATCAGACTGCGCGGATGTGCAGGCTGGTCTGGATCCATGCTGGTCGCAAACGCACTATGTTGGTTTTGTCGTGACGCGGCTCATATATATAACTGTATGAAGCAATAATATCTAACCAATTGCAAATAAACATATTTGGTACTTTAAATTTTTGATGTAAATAAAATAAGAATCACTGTAAATCAATTATAATCGCATGTAAATCATATAAAATTTTATTTTATTTTTTGTATTAGATTTATATTGAATCATAATGCTACAAAATAAACTTGAATTTGATGCATTCAAATCCTTAAAATAAATATCATACTTTAAAAAAATATCCATATCCAAAGTTTTTTCTGGTATCAACAATTTTCCGTCTTATTCATGCAGCCATAGAAACGTAAATTTAAAAAAAATGCTGCCTAAAAATCTTCCGTTGGCACTCCATATTTTTTTTACAAAAAAATCTGACACAAGTCTTAATCCAGTTTACTCAGGTCATTATTTTCATTACACCTCAATTTGTCAACACACATCGATTCTATCATGCTTACCATATTTGGCAGTAGGTATAGTAGACACTACGTCAATAGTAATATTTTTAGGCAATTTACTTTCTAATAATTTAGATGTTTTAGGATTATCTGGTTATTTACTTTTTGTTGTTATTTTGATGCAGCACAGGTCAATTCCGAGCTGTATGTCCCTAGATTAGCGGATAAATATTAAATTTATATATCAAGCGTTTAAAATCCCCGTATTTGTACATGCTATATTCAAGAAGATACTATTCTCATATATATCGACCCTATTTCATTGGAGAAAGGATTTATTCCGCTTATTTTGATATAATTTACGTATTTTATTTTTACAAATTTACCTACAGCTATCTGCCGTTATTTATATCATATATGTTTTATGTTCTTGTTTGTATTACAAATATTAGATTTAAATGATTTATACACCGTGATAAGTTTGTTTTCATGTGTTTGGAAAACTCAAAAACTGCAATAGTACTTATAAAAAACCATGATCTAATCCTGCACTTTTATACCCCGAAGTATTCACTTTCCAACTATTGTTATACTTACATTAAAAATAAATACAACACTTATTTGTTATTTGTTATAAATTTCTATCTCTAATCATCTATTTCCGATTACTCACAATGGAAAATACTTTGGAAAGATGACATACGTCCGGAGGTACGCCCCTTTTAATAACTATGATATGAAGTTATATAATTATACTGTTATCTCATTGTCATATAAAAGTTAACAGTGGTCATATAAAGCATAAACAGTTAGGCAAAATATAAAATAATATATATGTAAAATGGCTGATACTACCGTTACATTAGCAACATATAATTTGGTTTTGACTGGGAGTAGCAGTTGTTTGTCAATTCTTGGAGGAATTGTTATATTTTATACATACTACAAATTGCAGGCAATACGTAACTTTACTCGGACATTGCTCGTTTACCTAACATTAGCGGACGTTCTCGTGTCTGTCGGACATTTAATCGCGGTAATACGGTATTCATGTGTATACAGTGGAACTCCAAAAACAGAAAATTGCACTGCCAATAAAACAACCGAATATGAGGCTATATGTATTGGACAAAGTGTTTTGACAACTTTCTCTAGCTTGGCGTCGTTTCTATGGACGAGCGTGATAGCAATACATATCTGGTCGTCTGTTGTAATAAAAACGCACAAAACCGAGGCGCATTACATGCACGTGATATACCACGTGGTTTGCTGGTTTACACCTTGTAAGTATGAGTAAATATAAAGGCTATGTAAAGCTTATAAAACTGCAAGCTTTAAACGTTTATTTTCATGTTTATATTATGTTTATTTACGGCTTTGCAAATTAAAGATTTATTTTGTATTGCTGATAAATCTAAGTAATTTGTGCGATACATGTTTTATAAATTTGTTGTACAAAGACTTCCTTTTGAGTGAATAAACGGTTGTTAATAGTTATATAATCATCGCACATATTATAACCTGCAAACAAAATTAATTTTACATTTTCATGTTTAAATGTTGAATTCTGCTTAAGCCAATGCTAGGGTCTTTCCATCAAAACGAGCATGCAACATTTTCAATTTTGTCGTTTTGGGCGTTCTTTAGGGATACCGTTTTCTCTATTTCATTTTACATCTTTATCTGTTAATGTATTATCATCTACCTTGACCTACATTCAATTACTTCCTGAGACCTAAGGCATTAAATAACTTTAATAGGAACATTAAAAATACATGTTAAAATACATGTCATGCTCCATTTTTACAGTAATAATAGTGTCGATATTGTTACACAAGGACTATCTGGGTGAAGATTACTGCTACGGTACCGGGGTATGGTGTGGTATTAAAAGTAACCTACCACAGGGTGAAATAGAAAAATGGATGTACATTGCCGATATCGGCTGGCAGCTGGCCTGCTATCTCTTCACGTGCTTCCTGTATATTCATCTCAAATTTTATCTTGTAAGTTCTTTAAACAAATCTCTGTTGACAGTTTATTTTATAAATTGATCTTCTTTGAAAAAAATAACAACAACAATTACAACAACAACAACAACAAAACAAGCACAAAACAATTACTACTAGAGTTCAGTTTAAAGGCAAATAGTGTCACTGAAATACATTATTATTTAATTCTCGGAAAACGTGTTTTTAAAATGTTTTAATGATGCTTTTAAAGCAAGTTAGATGTTAAAGTAATACTGAACATGTAGTTCTGTGTCATAAAGGTAGCAAACTGTAAATAAAGTAGTGTTTTGACTGCCATACAAAATACTAACTCACTATAATTATATCAATTGCCATTTGAGCAAAAGATAGTTTATCTACATGGCAAATAAATATTTTTTGGAAACTATAACAAGTTTTTGAGAAATAAAAATGACAGCACAGCATATCTGAGACATAATGGGCCTTTAAATGAAGTACATGTATTTTTGATGATATCATATTTTATATTTTATCAACCAACATCATATGTAATCGTATAATATTTAATAACATACAGTTTCATATCTATGATAATGCCATATCATATTATACATATAGTGTAATACATGTATCATATAAATAAAAATGAAATCACGTTATGATTACTTTGACTGTACATAGCAAAATATAAAACTACAAATGTTGTACAGAGATCAGGTACAAAACGTACATACGGTTACATGTACATTCTAATATTGCTTTAAAGCATTCATCAACTTTGTTAACATTTTGTTGTATTATTTTTGTAGAAATTACACCGCAGACCAATAAAATTGAAGTCAATAACAGATAAACTACGGAATGAGGATGTCAATTTTGTCGCTGTGTGGATGGTGATTTATCTTCTGAGACTTTGGGGCTTTGCTCGATTCTTTATAACAACGTATTCGGATCAAAATACATTGCAGCAACATAACATGAGCAGATTTCTGAATTTTTTGCTTATAATGCAAAGTTACGGAGACAGTGGTCAAGGGTTTTGGAACTTTATTCTATTTTGTGTTTTTGACAAGCCAGTGAGAAGATATTTAAACACGTGGCTTTTTCGAAATTCAGAGGAACCTGAAAGACGGCGGTTACTGAGAGACACATAAATCAACACATAAATCAACACTACAATGTAGTTATAGAGTGCTTTATCATTCTGTAAAGTTACAGAAAAACACAACATTAATTTAACGTAAACACATAACTGTATAAGCTCACCAATAGTTAAAATATGAATATACATGTACATGTTTTGGTCCCTTTCCCATTTTTTGTGGAAAACGGCAAAGAGGGTGCACTTCTTTTGCGTGTTTTATTTTTCTCCACCTCAAACATAGAAATAATACCAGATCAGTATATTATACATTGTATCTTTATATGGTATTTGTTATATTTTATTAAGAAATAAAACTTAGATATGATTAAGAAAGGACCATAATGATAGACCACATTATTATAAAATGAATATTATAAGATTGATTTTTCCCTAAAATTAAGCTCATCATTTTCCTTCGAAGGTATAATACTGGTTATAGTATCTGCCATATGCTGCTGCATTTCCGGTCGGATTATCCGTCCAAGGAAACCCGCCCGTAGGTATGTTGTTGTATTTTATAAATATATTTTTTTGTAATTTCGTTTTTTGTTTTTTTTTTACTTTTCTTTGAGCTTCATTATTTTTAAATTCATTAAGTTGAAATCGTGAACTCACGAAGTTGAAATCATAAAATTGAAAACGTAAATTCATCAAGTTGAATCCGTGGAGTTGAAATCGTGAATTCATGAAACTGAAATCGTGAATTAATTAATTTTGTATGTTGAAATCAAGATTTCATGAAGTTGAAATGTCACCACCTTTCTTTCGGTCATACCTGTGCCACTTTTGCAACTCTTTAAAATGTTATAGCACGGTCGTGCATGTATTAAGACGTTACGTTGTACTAACAGTGTCAAGACAAGGCGATACACTTTAAATGCATTAATGAAAATGACTTTTTACCTTAAAATTTCTTACTTTGGATATGTGATAATTTGATAAATTGATTATTACATGTATATCCATGAAGCATAATTACTATTTATCATTAATATATTAACTTTTATTCAATTCAATTCAATTCAATATTTTATTCGGCAAAAACATATAAATGTTCATCGCCAATATAACATATATACAATGGCGGTACAAATACAAAGAGAAAAGCATGAATTCATATTAATTAAATCAGTCGAATTCTTACAATAACAAAACAAAGAGATACTATATATGATCTATAACATACATAAAATAAATCCATATTACACAGTCATATCATGCCTGATAGTTTTCGCGCCAAAGATTAGCATTGTAAACGTATTTTGCAAGTTTATTAATAGTATTACTTTGTTGACAATTTAAAAGAGATTTGAATTTAAACAAATTTGGCCAATGACAATAATAATTAGGTAAAATATTAAGTCTAATCTGTCTGTAAAAAGGACATACTAAGAGGAAATGATACTCATTTTCTATACTATTCATATTACATTTCGTGCATAATCTTAGACTTCTATTAATGTTTCTATATCTCCCTTCTTCTATAGCTAAATTATGAGCAGAACACCGGAATCTAGACAAAGCAATTCTATAGCTATCATATTTTACACAACTTAAATATTTTTCTAATTCAAAACTGGATTTAAATAAACAGTAAGTATCAAGTTTAGGAGATTCTTTGAGCTCTGAAAACCATTGCGGTAGATATTGGTCATAAATAGTTCTTATTACTGTTTGAATTTGTAAGTTAGTGATTTCTGTATTATCCCATAAATAAGAGTATCCTAAATTATCTAATAATTGTTTAACACTTACAGACCAATTATTAACTAATATTCCATGATCATCACGCATATTAAATACTTTAAAAACTAAAGAATTCGGGGTTTTCATAATTCTGAACCAATATTTTATCATTCTGATTTTACGACATATAATCATCGGAACTCGTCCAAATTCACTGTAAATCGCAGAACTGGCAGTCTGTTGACGAACTTTTAAAAAGTTTTTTAAAAATTTTAAATGAATTTTTTCTATATCGGGTGCCTTATGTAAACCCCAAATTTCACATCCATAATTCAGAATCGAAGTGATCATGGAATCAAATAACTTAATTTTGTCTTTAATGTCTAGTGATACAGTTTCAAATAGTGAAGTAAGCGCAAACAGAGCATTCATAGCTTGTCTAGACAATGACTTTAGCGCCTGGAAAAAACTTCCATTAGCAGACAGAGTAACACCTATCGAACTTGTTGAATAAAATAATAGTATGCTGACCTGTGGCTCACTTAATATTATTTTATTCAGCTCGTTAAATAAATTCAATATTGAACCGTCACTCATATAATGTACTTTGTTCTCGCGTAAAAACAACCCCAAAATTGTACGTTTTTTACCCTCTTTTCGGTATCCTATGTTTTATCACCTACTGATAACATTTTACAAAACATATACAATAAATTTAAATCATCAGGAAAAGTAAAACATATATTTCAAGTCTTAGCTGTATACACATACTTGTAAATTTATATTTATTATACATGTATATTGGATCGTAAAACAATTTTAACTAGGCCAGGACCAAAAGTGTGATATTTTCTTAGAGGAGATGGAGAAATCAGTGAAATACATAATTTTCTTATTTCTTACTGTTATTCATAGGTAAGATGTTATCATCTCATTTATACATTATCATATTTGTAATGTTATCATCTTATGTAAACATTATTATTCTAATATTTGTAATGTTATCATCTTGTGTATTCATTATCATTTTAATATTTGTAATGTTATCATCTTATGTATACATTATTATTTTAATATTTGTAATGTTATCATCTTATGTATACATTATTATTTTAATATTTGTAATGTTATCATCTTATGTATACATTATTATTTTAATATTTGTAATGTTATCATCTTATGTATACATTATTATTTTAATATTTGTAATGTTATCATCTTATGTATACATTATTATTTTAATATTTGTAATTCGAGAGAATTCTTTAAGTTGATTAACAAATTCGAATACTTTTTTATTTGATTCAAATTTCAAGATTTGCATTTCTTAATTATAGCAATGAGATTTTCATAGATATATGAATTAATGATAATGAAGTAAAAATGATTACTATTTTCATTAAAGCAACACATCTTTATTTTTTGTTATTTTTTCTGAAAACTGTTCTCATATGTCGTTGGAAAAATAAATCATGACATAAGGATCTTACTGTCCACAAAAATACATGCTGTACATGTATAATAATATTATTATATACACGAACAGAATGACCGTATCATAGTAACCGAATATGGTCATCACAAGACTGCATACAAATTGATGAGTTATTCTCAGTTCGACTTTAAATATCCATTGTATAATTTCAATTTTCAATATAGTTCTCTTTATTTAGATCCTGTTTTATTTTTTTACATGACGGGGCTGTGATAAATAGGCTTAGAAAAATAACGTTTGTACATAAGCTTACTCTGTTTTTCCAGAAGAGTAAGATAAAACGAAAAACTGAAAAGCGTTGCAACGCTTTTCACACAAATCGGACTGAATAAACAAACATGCGATTTTCGATTTTTTTTCTGAGTATATTTCTTTATCTGTCTGTTTTAACAACCCCTGCTGATCTATTTAAGAAATTCAAATTTTATGTTATTAGGCTTTGGAGCTCAGTGGAGTTCATTTTAGTGTTATTAAGATATTTGTTTAAAATCGATTGATATTATGTTAAAGATTTTAAAAACAATCTTAACCACTTTCAATTCCACTTCAACGACAAACCGATTGTGATTTATTGTGGGGTTAAAACATGATTGTAACCCTAGAAGGTTTCGAATATCTTTATGGAATCATACGTCATACAGTTTAACATCGATTAGTTGATTTTATAATCAGACGAATTTGGTGCTACTACAACTGTGTAAATGTGGTTAATGAGCCACAGGTATATATATTATTCAGTTTAAGCGCTTGAGTTTAAACTCTTTATTTTTACACTATACGTCACAGTATTTTTGCAATGACCTGTATATTTGGCTCCTCCTCCTAACAAGTCATTCAATCTCGTTCGCGCATGCTTAGTAGACTGGGTATATAAACCGAGCACGCTTCTGCAAATTCCTTTTCGATCCAGTCTCCGAGCTCCAGAAGCTGCCGTGAACTAACACGGAAAAATATTGGAGAAAAAATTATGTAGGCCCCCCTAGCGGTTCTGAACAAACATGGCAAAAAGACTTCATTTTTGTGTTTTTAAAGTAGCCGAAGGTACTGTAGAGTTGCTTTTCTTTATTATCTTTAATACTGTGTTAAAGTTATCTAACAAACCAATTTTTCAAATTTTATTACGACCACGAGATTTAGACAATCTAGATCTATTACCGATACTGTAGGCTTAAGGGCAGAGAAAGGTCTGAGAAAAAGTGATCCTACTAAAGACATTGTTGATACTATTTTGCAATACTGCAGTAGGTTTATTTAGCCTAATAAAAACAAATATTATTTGATCGCGTCATCACTAGACTTTATGACGTAACAAATACCTTGTGACTAGACGTGGAGTATACAGTGTAATAAATGCCCTGACAGTATTGTGTTAATGTTTATAAAGTATTGATAAAGAAACTTTATCTACCCATAAATTATGTTGAATGATTGTCCAGGTAGATCTATCCTTTTATATGTAGGGATGCTTCATAATGGTTAGTAATGTCATTCGTAGACATTATAAGTCGTGATAACGTAATACGTTAACCTTGTATTTGTTGTAAACTCAGCATTTTAATTCTGATTTTATTCTACTTTCTTTTACAAATTGCTGGAACCATGCCAAACGACAACCTAACCTGTCACAAGTTTTCTGGCTGTCAAGGTTTCTTTGAAGAGACTGGTCAACATTATGTTCTAGACAATGGCACCAGAACAGAACACAGAAGTCGGTAGAACCAGCAGAAGTTGTGATGCCTAAATCAAGCTAATTGTTGATACAGATTAACCGATAGACAGGTGACGTCACTGTTTTTAAATACAAATTATAGTTAAAATTTAATCTATGCTGTTTGTGACAAAAATGACATTATCAATTAAATACACATATATTCCTTATTACAGAAGAGTTCTTCAAAAATGCAGAATATTAACAAAATGTCGGTATTTAACATAAAATATTCTTAAAAGCAACTGTCACAACTGTAAGAAAATGTTTTAAACTTGGGCGGATACCTTGGAGTGATGGAATTTTTGTAATTTTGCACATTAGTAATTATCTATTACTGTGTCAAATAATACGATAATTTAAAAAAAAATAATAAATATTTCCAGTACTGTCATGTCAAAAATCTCTTCAGTCGAGTACCTTTAAGTTATAAGACATCAAGGA